GTTATAATAGGCGCGTTAAATGTGTAATAATTCCGCATTCTTCAGTATTATAAATCTTTTTCGTCCGAGTCAAGTCTCAATTGTGTTGTGGAAGGATATTGGAGGATGAACATAAATCCGATCTGTTGGTTGGGGCTGACAGCTTTGCTGAGACTTGTATTGCCAAAGTTTATTCAACAGAGAGTGAGTATATAATGAGCGACAACACACCAGAAAATAAAGGAGCCCCCTTTTGTCCAGGATCTAAATATTGTTGAAAATAGTTGAATGATGTGTGTCAATGTCATAGCCAAAAACCATTTGCTCAGCAGATGAGGCTTTCATTGATCGGATTTACAGCATTAAGCAAAAATATAAAAACAATCTTGCCAGAGCGAGGTGGCAATAAAGAATATATTCACGGAAATCATGCTTTAAATAATTAATCTTCTATCCAACAAAGTCATTAACTTGACAACCATACTATAAAATCCCATTCAACAATATTAAACTTACAACAATTGCCAAAGGCAGCCAGAGTTTTCAAGTAAATAAAACACTCCCAAATAGCACAAATTCTAGTCCTACATATGGGGCATTATATTATCAAAGCTCTTATGTCCGCATCCTGCTACTTTCTGCTGCCCTCACTTGGGAGAAATATGGATGGCCCTGCAGAAGTGCCAGCATGGCAGTAAGGTTTTCTCATCCCCAAAATATAATGGTAGAAGTTATCAACAGCAAACATGTAATGCATAGAACAGTGCTCACATAAAATGAAACTTAGTGATTAAATTAACAAGGAAAGAATTTGGTGTCACAAGAACCCTTGTTCAGTTTGACTGTAACTAACGGAGAATTACCATTGCCTCTTTTGCAGTTAGCCTGTCTTGATGATCATACCGAAGAAGTTTATCCAGAAAATCAATGGCCTGCATGTCAAATACCTTAAAAATTAATAGCATGTTGGCAATTGTAAGAGTTTTAATTTGTAAAATACATAAAAGGAAGTTTTGATGAAACATAATGTGAATAAACTAAAGAACTTTTTATGTACACATTTCGATGATGGGAGCTCTTATTGGCACTCTAAAAAAGTGATCATGCGCTCCTCCCTCATAAAAATATAAGGAGGAAATTGCACTTTCAGAAGGATGAATTTTTTGGAGGGCCAATAACAGTTTGCTTCCAAGAAACATAGAATTTACCTCTGGAGAAACTAGATGCTGATTATCTGCATTAATAAACTTCGACCAGGGCTTCCTGCTGTGCCTGCAGTACAGTGTAACAGCACATCAATACACGTACACAGATACTAATTCCACATTATTTATTACTTTCAAAATTTCATTCACATTTATATACTGCAGCACCTTTTTACTTTGTTTGATAAGTTAAACTGCAGCAGTTCCTAGCGGAAGATGGAACCTTTGCATTTGCATGCTAAGATATTTCCACAAAGAATTCATATTATAACAAAATTGACCTTTTACAAGATTACAGAGAATTAGCATCACTTAGAAGAAGAGATTTATGCTGAAAATACCTCCCCACAAGCGCATCAAGTTGAGGATCAAGCTCTAAATGGTATTTGTTCAGATATGCATTCAACTCATCAGTCCCAAGTACCTGGAAATGAATATAAATTACTACAACTCATTAAAAATATATACATATTACATCAGACGATATTGGTTAGACCATATATTATGTATATCACGAGTCATTAGTCCATATTTATAGGTGTGTGTGCGCGTGCATGGGTGCATGCAGATGGGGGTTGATGTGAAACTGCCCTAGATGATACAACACTATCACCTAAGTGAGAGATAGTAATACAAACAGACATCCTTGAGTTTCTCTCCAAAGATATATAGAATATAAACATTCATATAGAAGTAGTTGTAATATAAACAGAAACCACTAACCACTAATTTGTTGTTTCATTCCTGCAGAAATTTCTACCAGTGGCTATAATATGCATACTGATTACAGCATGTCAACCAAAAAAGGACTAGAATTACCTTGGCAATTTTGACCAGTTGGTCATGGTTGTCATGGCCATAAAAGAAAGGTTCCTTGCGAAATATCTACACAAAACAAGTATAATGAGCAAACACACCTGATTACATGCTTTTCTAAACAGAAACACATTAAAATTGGGAATTTAAGTAACTAACACCAGAAACCATCTAAACCAAAATCCAGTAACTGTAATTCTCACCATTCCAGCAAACATACAACCCAGGCTCCACATGTCCAGAGAATAGTCGTAATCTTGCAAATCGACTAGAAGTTCAGGACCTTTAAAGTATCTAGAAAACAAGGAAAGAAATTTCAATCATTCCACAAAGATGAATT